GTGGGAAAGCTACATGGACTGACTGGGCATCATTCAAGACAGGAAAGCAAGAAAGGCTCCGTGTGTGGAAGAGAGCGGGTGAGGAGCTCTGTGGAGAGTGCCTGCAAGAAACTCGCAAAAGTGGGGAGCGGTGATTTTTCAATTTGGGCCCGTTTTTGTGCCCACCAGCCTGGCAGCTAAGCATTTGTGGACAGATGACTTAATGCTGCTCAGGATGTAGACCTCCTGGAAGGCAAACTTCAAGTATTTTCCGAGGCCCACTGAATATTAAGACTAAGCCTCATGGTGTTGAAAGTGAATAGCGCATTGCGGCTGACGTCTGTGAAATGCAGAGAGTGGCCCTTGTGGGGAAGCAGCAGCTCTGACAAGTCATCACTTTTGTCTGTCTCTGCCTGTCTGCCTGTCTGTCTGTCTGTTTGTCTGTCTGTCTGTCTGTCTCTCTCCCATTCCGACTCCCGTCCCTGTTGCTCGCGCAAGCCCCCTGAAAAAACCCAAACAGGAACAAATTCCAGCAGGCAAACAGGCAAGCAGGCAGCGAAAGCGTCGCAGATGGCGGCTGCCGCCGATGAAGGTGAGGACGATGACGAGGACGCGACGGCGCAGAGTGGGGGAGGGCGGGGTGAGTGAATGATTGAAGACAGGAAGGAGGGAAGGAGGGAAGGGGCTCACAAACAACGCGCTGCTGACTTTCCTCAAGCCTCCATGGAGGCCAATGTCTGGTGTCCACGCCCCTTCAGCCTCTCTTGCTGGATGGCCATCGCAAGCCCCCGCTTCGGTCGTGCAGGTCCGTACAAATAAAATAGAGGCGTTGGCTTCCAAACCTTCGTCCGTGCCCCAGTGCTCATCATCATCCCGTGTCCCCTCCAACCCCCGTGTGGATCATCAGTCATTTGGGTGTCGAGCGCTCTGTACCTCCTGGCAGCCATCGGAATCGCTGTTTTCGCGGTGCGGTTTGTGCGCACTCGACCAACACGACCACGACCCTTCCTTCGCGGGATCGTCCCGAACGCGATGGAGACGTGCATCCTCGTCTCAATATTAGTTTCCCTCTCAGGCGCGATCTCGCTCACTTACCTCCGGCTCAGCCTCCAGGTTCCGTACGGGTAAGTGAGTCGCTCTTCCATCTCGCCGACGTCATCATTCTCAATTCCAAGACAGAATATTCCAGGGAATCGAGTACGCAACCATCGGCATCACAATCAGCGTCTTTCTCTACGCCTTCATCAAACCCATGATCCACCACGTCGACGGCCTCGCCAAACTCCTCCCGTACATCTGGCTGACGTCGATCCCTCCCATCCTCGACGGCTGCGTCGCGATCTGGACCGCCGTCCTCGAGGACCAAATGTCCCGCGAATCAGACCTCGCCCGACTCGCCGAACTCGGCCGCCTTCACGACGCCGCCGGTCTGCTCGACACCGTGTTCAGCAGCCTGCTCGCCATCGCTGACATGGCCTTCTTCGTCGCCGCTTACCTCTCCTTCCGACGGGCCATCAAGAACCTCGGCCCGTCCCTGCTCCTCCGTGCCCGCACGCGGGAAACCGTCGAATCCGCCGAGTCGGCCCGAACCGCCGTCGCTCACCCCTCGGAATTCGATTCTCGCGCTTACATGCTCCACCGCCCCTCAACCCCCGTGACCGGCGCAGCCGACCCCCTCCAAAAGCGATTCCCGACCCCAGCAACCCACGTTTCCGTCTACAACCCCCACCACCCGGGATTCGCGGCAGCCCAGCCGGAAGTCCTGTACACCGTTCACGGACAACAGCACCAGCAGCTGCTCCAGGACTGCGTCATACTCCCCGCGTCGTCCCCGCACTCGCCGCCGCAAGACGATTCGCCCCAGACCACGCCCGTCTCGCCCCCAACCTGCTCGCGCGCCACAACCGCGTCGCCCACCCCGCCACGAACGGCGGCCACCGCGTCGCTGGAGGCCTTCGAGTCGGAAATCCGGACCGGCAGCATCCGCGTGTGTCGCTCCGTCATCGGCTGGGCTGCCGTCTGCCTCGGCGTCAGCACCGTCGCGCTCGTGGTTTTCAAGCTTCTGTCGCCCACTGTGTCGAACGGGCTGGACGCTTTCTATGTCTGGGTCATCGGCGTCATGCTGCAATAGTTGAGTTTTCTCTTGCGCTTTCTTTCTTTTTTTATACTTTTTTTTACGCTTTTGAACTGAGGTGTTTGGACAGCTTAGCTAACAACCCTCTAGCGTTCTCGGTGGGTTCGGTATTGCGGCATTCTACATTGTTCAATTCGTACTTTGGCGACGCACTCCGTCAATGTAATCCGCCTATTCACACAAATCAAGTCATTAGAAGGAGTCTATTGTGCCGCGTGCGGATCTGCACCAGCTTAAATTCAAAATTTTTTTTTTTTTTTTTACAATATATGCATTCAATAAAAGTGTTTGACCTCAATTTTGCCGCCCTGTTGTGCTTGTCTCGTTGAAGCGGAAAGAGAAGGGGATATCGCGATTGGGTTAACAAGAATCGGAACTTCCGTTCCGGTCGCAGTACAGAGATGTTAGTTATTCGACCAAGCTGGGGTTTGAACCCAGGCTCTTTTCCTTCGGAGGGAAACATGTTACCACTACACCACTCGGCCGATGCAATTGGGTGAAAAACAATAGTAAAGTAGCTTGAGTTAGAAATCCTTTGAATGAGCCGCCAGGTGCGGAGTTCTTTCAAGTCAAAAGCGAAGTTTGCATGCCAAGGAACAACCATATTGGCGATGAAACTGCTCACATTCTTAGGTTGCAATTTGAAACTAAGAGGTAAAGAGGTAAATAAGTCATAGGATATGCCCCCGACCGCAAAACAAGCCAATGCTGCGACCTTCGCTCTTTTTTGAGCCAACACGCGGCGGGATTCACACGTCGGCAGACGACACGAGAATCTCCACCGACGACTGCTTGACCTCTGGAGAGCGCGGGGCGGTGGCCGCCTTGAATCGCGGGCCGGCCGTCTTGGGGTCCACGAACGTGACTTCCCCGCCGCCTCCCCCGAGCTTGGCCGCCGCCACGCGCCCCGCGAGCTCCTCGACCGAGCGCTGGAACCCGTGGTGCATCCTCGGCCCCGTCGTGCTCACGTCGATCTCGGCGGCCGGCTCGGCGGAGGCGAGTAGGGACGCCCGCTTCGCGGCCGTGAGCGACTGCGTCGACGCAGAGGGTGCGTGCACGGAGTACACGGAGCTCACGGAACGCGTTGAGCGGGCTGAGCGCGAGGACGACGCCGAGGCGATCGAGACGCGCGACGGCGAGCGCGGCGGGCGGAGGGACGTGCGGTCGCGGTCGGCGTACGAGGAAGGGTGCGGGGACAGCCGCGGCCCGGCCGTGCGCGGGTCGATGAAGGCCGGTCCGGCGGCGTCCGGGGTCGCCGACTTGATGGCCGCGACGGCCGCCGCGAGGTCCGCGGGGAACTGCTGGAAGCCGTGGTGCATCCTGGGCCCCGTAGTGCTGACGTCGATGTCGGTGATGCCCACGGACGGGATGGTAGTGGAAGAGTGGATCGAGGCGCGCTTTGCGTTGGTCAGGGCTTTTGTCGAGGCCGACGGGGCGTGGACGGAGTAGACGGAGCTTGTGGAGCGGACCGAGGATTGGGAGGAGTTTGATGCGCGCGAGGGCGAACGCGGAGGGGAGAGTGTGGACGTGTTGGTGAAGGCGCCGAGCATTTTCTGTCACTGCTGGGTTTTTGGAATGAAGCGCTGCGGTGTGGGGAAAACACTTGGAGGAAGAGTGGAAGTATTTATTTACGTTGAAGGGGAAGGTGGCCGAGCGCATCACGCACGCACGCACGCACACACACACACACACACACACCCACCCACTCACTCACTCACTCTCTCTCTGTCTCTCTCTGTCTCTCTCTGTCTCCCTCACCCGCGCTCCACCCTACACGCCGAGAAAATGCATTACAGAATTCATTATTTCATTTTCTGCTTATCGCACAGTGCCCGTGCCCCTCAGTAACTAAGCGGGTGGCACACCCACGGCTCCACCTACCTTGCTAAGAATTCCCGGCTTGCGACCCGCTCTTATCCAGCCAATCGCAACCACGCCCGATTGCGCGTCAGTCGTGTCGCCCCGGCCGCAATGAAAAAAGAGCAAGGGACAGGTCGCGTGTCTCTAGCAAACAAATCGAAAACAAATCGCGGTTTATTCAATTATTGCCCTCTTCCCCCACACACGGCTCTGCAGCCCTTTCCTGCGTTTGCTTGGCTGGAATGAAGCGTTTATCGTGACGGTCTACGCATCAGTGAAAAAAAGAAGGTATCTATGAGTGACGATTTTACTGCAAAACAATGTGCAGCGAAGGCAGAGGAGACTTGTTGTTGTTTTTTTTTCATTTTGTTGCTTGGCACCTCGTTATTGGATTTTTGAGGGTGACGACAGCGCAATTTCTACCAACCGCTCTCTCATTCTCAGCCTCGAAGAAGGGAGATGAGCGCCGCATGAGCGGCGTAAACGATCGTGCGACCCTGCGTTGCCGTGGTAATCCCCTCCCATTGCAACCAGTCCGGCCCCACAGCAAAAGATAAGCGTTGTTCATGTGATCGCGTGATCTACTTGTGGAACACAGTGGACTTGAGCCTGGTTGGCTTATCCCTGACGGAGCGTGCCTCCTTATTCGCGCGGTGCCTCACGGCCATCCAACGTCTTCGGTTGGGAGCGTGTTTGCCCTGAGATTTACGCTTGAATGATTCATCGGGCGCGCGGCATTCGTTGAAAAAAGAACAGGGTGCTTTGGTTCCCATCAAGTACGTACAGATTTCACATGGAATTACGATAAGCATGTTTCTTGTTTGTAGCACTAGCAGAAGCTTGGGGATTGAATTTTCTGTATTGATTTTCATGGGGTTTGCGAGATCCTGTAGGATGAATGACAACAACCAGTTTAGCCAAGTAAACAAATAGGCTAGCATGCGTGACTCTTCCACGGTGCTGAGACTATTCCTTGTGGCAAATGTGTCTTACTTGGGAATATCATACAATTAAAGAGGCTGGGTGCAGATCTGTGCCTCACTGGTAGAGCGATTGACTGCAGATCGAAAGGTCACTGGATCAACCTCGGCTGGGTCCTCTTCTCTCCTGGCGCCTGTACTTTCAGGAGAAGCATTTGGATGTCAGCAGTTTGACGCCCAGAAAGGTGCGAAAGTGGGCGCCACAAGCCATGCTAGAATTTTGCTGTACTTTGACTGCTTGCTGGCTCTGAGCAAGAATAAAATGATCACACATCTAGGACCCGGGTCCTCAGTGAGTGTGTGTGTGTGTGAGGGAGACAGAGTTCATGAAAAAGAGAGAGAGGGAGAGTGAGATTGAAGACAGACAAAAGGAGAGACGTGCTGAAAGTGTAAAAATTTTGTCTAGTGGCACAAGTACGATTCGGTGCGAACAGGCTGCCATGGCGCAACTGGTTAGCGCGTGCGTCTGTTAGACATGTACAGCAAACCGCAAGATTGGTGGTTCAAGTCCGCCGGGTAGTGCTTTAGGACCTCCAGATTCCAAAGCGGAATACTTTACAGTGCCAGCTCGAAAGCTCTGGGCAACCACCTGAAAAACAAGTAAAAAATCAACTGTTGGTGGACCGGACAAGAGACAGCAGACCTGAAACAAACAAAAAAGCTTGTATGTGGGTATTTGGTTGTCAGTCTACAGTCATGATTTTCTTTTGATTTTCACTTGGTCGTCCAAAGTTTTCAGGCTACCGCTGGATTTGATTGCCCCACCCAGCAGAACTGCAGCTTTCCCACCATTTATTCCACTGTTTATTTTTTGTGCAACTTGGATACCTCTCACAGCAGTAGTATCATCTCGCTTTCACCACAAAATGAAGTGCAGGGTTTTGTTGAAAAAGTGAATGAAATGTAGGCTGGAGTTGGCCTGGGTTGAGCCACCATGATGCATGCAGCCACTCAGCTGCTGCCACACCATAGTTCAGTCAACCAAACCATCTCCTTCTAAAAGCAGAAAGCAGTATTGTAGGCAGTTCCTGCTTCTAATTGCAGCAACAATGCAACAAAGGAACAGCCAGCTGCTCAGACAGATTAAGTTTTTTTTTAAAATATTGTGTTTTTGTCCCCCTGATTTTTTGATCGGTGTTTTGACCCTCTGACAAACCAGCATTTCATGCAGACGGACTGTGGGTTGGGTGTGCTGATTGCTTTTTTTTTTTTTTTTTTGTTTTTTTGTACAATTTGTCTGATATCTTGTGGCAAGGGCAACGACCTTTGTACAAACGTTTGGAGCAAAACATTAGGCTGCAAAAACTGTGTCCACAGCCCAACATCCAGTTACATCCTTCAAGCTGACTCAGGCTGTTTGCATTTGTAGAGATTTTGTTGCTCTTGGTTGGGGCAAGAGACAAACTTTTGCCACCCACCCCCCCAGGCCAGTGGCAGTAGCCTGTAGGTAAACAAAGAAGGTGGTGGCCTCCAGGGAAGGTGGTGGCCTCCAGGCTGTACCTTTTCCTCCTGAATAGGGTCTGCCACAGACTGAACCAGGTCAAATCTGAAATAAATTTGAGTTTGATTTGAATTCGAATCAGACTTGAATCAAATGAATTCTCCAGTATAGAGTGACTTGAATTCGATTTGATTCAGGTTTTATAAGTAAAAAATCGAAATTCCATTTGATTTGGCGCAATTTGAGTGCAAAAACAGCCATTGAAGAAGATTTTCTGATCGCCTCTCGATCATTCAAAGCATGCCGTTGCCTTGGTCGTCAAAGTCCGACAAGGGCAAGAACCGCCGTGTGGCCGGTTCCGATGAACCCCACTCCTCCGAGTCCACTGAAGCCGCCTTGTCGAGCTCGTCATCCTCTTCTTCCACTGCCGCCGAGAAAAAGTCTTCCCTGGGCCAGCCGCCCCCGTTCGAGGACCCCGCATCCTATTCCTATGACTACAGCCACCACGTCAAGGCTTCCGCCATCAACCACCCCAACGCTCCCACTTCCGCCTCATCATCATCGTCTCACACGCCCGATGTGGGGGTCGAACCCACAGCCTTGTGATGGCTCACGTGCACATGTCGCAGATGCCGTAAGAGTCACACGCTCTACCGATTGAGCTAACCAGGCAACACACACTGCATTTTCCCGCTCAATTTGATCAGAAGAATAATCACAACTCCCTCCATTGGCCTGTTCTTGGGTCATCATATAGCCCTTCCTTCAGAAAACTGAATAGTGATAGAGAGTGGACAAAATCTGTGTGCAGTGTCAGTGGCATCGTGCACTCCTCCTTGTTCCAGTACACGCAGCTGTTACTGCTTGCAATAGGCTCAAATGACACACGCAGACCCCTTGCTTCAGCTGGGAGCAATTCTACCAGGGCAGCAGTTGATGAGCACTGTTCACCTTTTACACACCAGTTTGCCTGGAACCTACCCCCCCTCCTGCGGAACCCACATTCCGAGTCTGACTGAACACTTGCACAGTGGTTGTTTGGAGCCACTTGGCTCAAGCTGACTGTTAAGCGTCTGCCTTCCATCTGTTACCTGTGCTCTAACTCTGTGTCCCTTTTGCTCACATGTTTGCAAAAATGATTGAAGCTCCCCCAATAGTTCATAATCACTCCAGCTAATCATAAACATAGTAGAACCATTTTTGTTGATAATCCTCAGCTTCAAGGATTCGTAGAAGCTGAAGGATGCTCTCATGTGGGGCTTTAATTCACATTCTCTCAAATTGTCATGCACACAACATTGGAGGTGTGCACGGGCCAGCTGCGCGTCATGCCATCAAGGCAGTTTTGTGTGGCGTATGGGGCACAGCAATGCTGAAGCCAGCTGCCGTCTCCTGGGATTGGACCGGGTGCCTTAAGATGGCCAAGCCAGCTGGTGGGATTCCGGGTGGCTTCTTCAGTCTTACGCTCTCCCAGATGAGCTAAGACGGCTGCATTTGTCTGGTAAAGTAAGAACATTTGTAGCCTTCCTCCTTGATGAAGAAGGCAATGCAGCATAACTGCACCAACGTAAAGTTTCAATTTTCTAGATGGTAAGTCAGACTATCAGCACAATTTTTTCATGAAAATAGCACTTTTTCTAAGGCGGCAAAAAGTGGAATCAGCTTGGGTGGAAACAAACAGGAAGCTAAGGCGCCTTTTATTCATTACTGTTTTTTTTTTTTTTTTTTCAGTTTCTCTCTCTCCTGATCATCTACTACCCTGTTCCTGCAGTTTTTGTTTTTGTGTAAACTTTATTTCATAGGGGCGGGGAATTAGCTCAAATGGTAGAGCGCTCGCTTAGCATGCGAGAGGCACGGGGATCGATACCCCGATTCTCCAAAACCAGCTACGTGTTATGACAAGACACAACCAAAGCCCTTGGAAAGGAACAAAAAAAAAAAAAAAAAGAAAAAAAAAAAAAAAGAAAAAATTAATGTGGGGATGGGACTAGAGAGGGTCCCTTTGGCAAAAAGCTGATGGAACTCAGCTTTGAATTCAGGGTTCAGTTGTTGTCCATGTCTGACGACAGAGAGAGGGCTCTGGACAGTTGTTTGCCCTTTGCGAGGTGGTGCTGGGCAAAGTGCTGGCGAGGTGCTGGCAGGATGCTTCCACCCTGTCCCTTTCAATTTGACATCAGCCTAAACCATCATCCTCCTGGGAACAGGCTTGCCATTGGCTCTCAGGCGGCACGCTCACTGCCATGAAACTTTCACTGCTTCACATTTTTGTTCATTTCTACTGGACTGATTGTTTGTTGTTGTGAAACCAGAATTTTTTGGGCACTGATGTGCGCTTTCGTGCGTGAGTGTGTAAGGTCACATGGTGTAGTTGGTTATCACGTCTGTCTAACACACAGACGGTCTCCAGTTCGAGTCTGGATGTGACCACAGGCTGTGTGCATGAGTTTTAATATCAAATTAGTGCACTTGTTGTTTTCACCAAAAATGTCTGTCTGGCGTCGAACTGACATAATCGTAAGCAAGATGGCCTAGACAGACAGCCAGATTGCACACACACAAAAAAAAAAAAAAAAAGGTAAAAGATTCATTGAAAAAGACAAAAATGCCTATCAGAAAAATGAAGAGAAAAAGGAGGAAGAAAACTTCAGGAACGATATCAAAAAGGGAAGAGTGTTGATTCCTTGATAATTAAAGCAGGAAAACTTTGGGGACAGGGCCAAGACTTGCATCAGTCTGGAAATTATGTTGTTTCTTTCTTTCCAACCAACGCACATCTGCTTGGGCAGGACATTCTCTGATGCAACAACAATATGATATCTACTTAATTACTGTTCAATTTGGCACAAGTTTGTTAAGTGTTGAGATTTGAGCCTAGAAAACCAACTTCCTCTGTCGACGGTGGCCTCGTTGCTGCCGCTGATGCGACTTACACTAAGGAGAGCAGCCGTTTGCTGGATTCCAATGTCTGGGAAAGGCTGAAGTCCTGCTGGTCATTGAGTCTGGAAAGTTAAACTAAGCCTGAATCTTCATTATTAGCCCCCTGGCAGTCTCTAATTTGCATCAGAAACTGTTCAAGTCAGTCCCAAACAGCCCGGCATGGGCATTTTAGATTTTAGGTAGGCTCTAGTGCAAAGAATTTTCTGGTCAAACACTTTTTCTTGGTCCGCCTGTAAACAGTCTACTCTGAGTGAGTGAGTGGAAGGAGTGAATGAAGTGGAGAGGTGTGTTTGCGGGTGGTCCTTCTCCCCGACTTGGAGAGAAAGAGAAAAAACTCTGTTATGAATAATTGATACATGATGATGATATACATACTGTAATAGTTGTTAGGCAAGCGTGACTGGCACAGGGTAGAAACCTCTCCTATATTATCTGCTTGAGCAGAGGAGGAGGAAAACTGTTGACACTGGGTTTCTGTTCAGCTTATTACTCGGAGTATTTGTCATCAGCGCAAGCCAGCGCTCAGGTCTGCATTGGCGGTGGCTCGCTCTCCCATGGGCATCCTGAGAACGATAACTGACAGTCACAGTAGGTTCGGGTCTGTCTTGTGCCTCTTGCTGCTAACCAGTCAGTTCCGCCTAACACCATCTGCCTCTGCCAATAACGTCAGCTGGCGTCGTACAAGCCCTTCAACCACAACTGCATCAGCAAGTGTCCAGCACACTTGCTGCTGTTGGCTGT